TGCTCGCTTCAGTGCCTGGCTGCCGGCCGCCATCTTGGCTGACAGTTAATTTGCATATACTCACTGATTAGGCAATGAAAAGGGTAGCGGTCGTACGCTAATTACCATGTTTCTCTTTTATTAGTGTAGATGATGAGTTCGAGCTGATACATATTAACTTCTCTAAACACTCACCAGGATTAACTGTGACCTTTGGTGTGGCCTGGTGGTGGGAAGTTGCAGTGAGTATTGTGGATTAGTTTAGAGCAGCGGTTCTCAACCTGTGGATCATGACCCCTTTGTTGGTCGAACAACCCTTGCACAGGGGTCGTCTAACTCTATCCTGCATATCAGATATTTACATTACGATTCATAACAGTAGCAACATTACAGTTATGAAGTAGCAACAAAAATAATTTTATGGCTGGGTCACAACCTGAGGATCTGTATTTAAAGGTCCAGAAGGTTGAGAAGCATTGGCTTAGAGGCTTGAGTGTTCATCTGTGAAACTCACTGAGCATGATGCAGAGGGCCATCGGGGCTGGGACTTGAGTGAAGGTTCAGTGAGACATGTTGGCAAGCATTCTCTGGTCAACACATGCTGAGTAATAACAAAGAGGCCAAGGAGAGGACTATGGGGGCAGGGGTGAGGGAATGCAGGTGTGAGCCAGGTGTGGAAAAGAGTGATGTGCACTTGAAAAGGGAATGTGAATTGATGGCCACAGGACCCTGATACTGACATAAGAGTGAATGAGGGAAGAGTACATTTCTGGTGGTGTCTGGATGATCCAATAAGGTGAATTTTAGGGTAATTGCCTGTCAAGTGGGATGTTTTGGAGCTCCACTTGAGTTACAGAGCTTAGGTGCCATTTCACTAACCACCTGCCTTTTGTTGTTGGGGATGACACCCTAGTTAATACAACCCAGTCTTCAAAATCTCCACTGGCATGGGTAAGGGGTAAGAGATCATGAAGATGGTGAACTATAATTTTGGGAAAAAAGGTGATAGGAAACAATGTTTCCTTGCCACAGCAAATTTGCCTTACCTTTGCAGTTGTGCTTCTGGGAATGAAGCTGTGTGAGAGAAGTGTTGTTTCAAAGAACTCTGTGCAACAGAGTGCAAAGTTATGGCCTCAGCACCTTGTGATTGGGTTTAAGAGGGTGAAGTGTGATGCCATGTTTTTGGTGTCTTTGAGAAACAATCTGGGGGTATTGCCTGACAAGACCAGTATCAAATCACTCACACTATCTTTATCGCCAGCATCTCTCTTTAACATGTGGTTTCGACACTCAATCTGTTGATAAAAGTCAGTGAGGTGTATACGGGAGGTCCAGAGCTCAGGTATCTTTTATCTGCTCAAATGCTTTTATTATAGTGGGAAGACAAAATGTCAGTAGGAATATAAGAAAACAGTGGCTTTCATGGGATTAAGGCCTGGTATTTTCTCTGATGTGCAGAGTGGACAGAGCAGATGGATGTGGAGGGTGTTCAATATGACAGACTTAGAATCTTAGGAGTGAATCTGATCTTGGGCTGTACTGTCCCCATTATAACAGGATATGAACTTTGAGGACGTTGCCATTGTCTTCTCTCAGGAGGAGTGGGAGCTCCTTGATGAGGCTCAGGGACTTCTCTACTGTGATGTGATGCTGGAAGTGTTTGCACTTGTGTCATCTGTAGGTAAGATTTCCACTTACTCCCAGTGTCATGAGGTGATGACCTCTGTTCCTTTATTCCTCAGGCATAGCTTTCTCTCTCCTGCAGCGACAAAATGACCTCTGCTAATTTTCCCCACTGTCTTGTAAAATGTGCTGTGGCTGCCAGGGATGAGGTGGGTGGAGAGTCCTGAGCAAAGGACTCCACCAACATCCCTAACACCTGTTACATCAAAAAGCATAGGAAACAGAAAGTCAGGAATCTTCTAGTGAGTTTAATCGGTCCCAGCTTGCACTTACACTTCATGGGAGGCTGACAGTGTCCATACGCATGGCTTCAACTTATGCCCGCCTTCTCTACGTAAAGTCTGTTATGCCATGTTATGGTCTTTACTTACATGAACCATGGCCTGTTCTTGTGAGACATTCAGTCAGTTGTTTCTTATATACTCTTCCCTGAATATGATAGCAAGCTGTGTTGCTCTGGCCCAGTGCTGACTTCTCACCTCTTCATCACCTGTTCTTTGCACTGGTGCCTCTGCAGTATTTTGCAACATTGACTTGCACATGTGTTATGAGGTGCACATATGTGCTAACTAGTCCTTGAAACCAGCTACTCCTTTATTGAATTTTACGTGGAGTAAGACCTAACCAATCTCTTTACAGCTCATCCCCGTCCCCAGCAGACAAGCCATGCTGAATGCTGTTAGTTGAAGTATTAGCTGGAGATCCATATTCTCACCCATGTGGTGCTTGCCATGTTTGTGTCTTATTTCTGCTGAGACCTCCCTATTTTGTGATCTTCATTAGCCCAGGAAGTTACAAGAGCCTCTTATTAACACTTCCTGCAAAGCTCTTATTTTCTGACAATTGCATGGAACCAACGTGCGATGTGTAATACACTTTTGTAATGGGACTTCCCCTGTCAGCACTGTCAACATTCATTTCCTCACCATTTCTCACTTTTCAGGTTGTTGGCATAAAATCTACGGTGATGAGGCCTGTTCTGATCAGAGTGTAGGAGAGTCACAGGTCAGAGCTTCTAAGACAGCTCCAGCCACCCAGAAGATCCCTCTGTGTAAATGGTGTTTCTTTGTGTTAAAAGGTATTTTGGACCTGACTGGGTTACATGCAGCAGACTTTGAGCAGAAAGCCTTTTGTAGTGACACATGTGTTGGAGACTCCTGTTCCTGTGCAAACCCTCACCAGCAACAGAGGAATGAATGTGGTCAGGGGCTCTGGAAACAAGCTATGGAGAAGGCCTCCTTTGTGAGTAGGTCCAACTTCTTATCGTTGGTGCCTTCCACCAGCAGGGACTTTGGGGAAGACTTGCAGTACAACTCAGAGCTTCTCTGGCACCAGGCCACTCTCAACACTGAGGAGCTACACTGTGACAGTGAGGTTTCAAAGCAATTTCTTGATGGAAATAGTCTTCACCAGTGGGGTGAATGTGAAAACGCTGCCAAACACAACCTGAAAGTTGTTCAGCATCAGGGTGTGTGTTCTGGAGAACTGGTTTATGAGTGTAACAAATGTAGGAAAGTGTTTAGACAACACTTAAACGTCATTCAAAATAAGAAAGTCCACACTGGAGAAAAGCAGTATGAGTGTAGTGAATGCAGGAAGTTTTTCAGAGAAAGACCTGCACTCATTAAACACCTGAGAGTTCACACTGGAGAGAAGCCATCTGAGTATAGACATTATGAGCAATCCTTCAGTAATAAGTCTGCCCTCAAACTACACAACAGAGTTCACACAGAAGAAAAGCCATATAAATGCAGAGAATGTGGAATATCTTTTCATCAGTGGACTCACCTCAATCTACATCTTAGAATTCACACTGGAGAGAACATGTATGAGTGTACTGAATGTGGGAAAACTTTTACTTTAAAATCTCGTTTTATTAAACATATGGGAGTTCACACTGGAGAGAAGCCATATAAGTGTACTGAATGTGGGAAGTCTTTTAGCCGAAAACCTCACCTTATTAGACCCCTACGAATTCACACTGGAGAGAAGCCATATAAGTGTACTGAATGTGGGAAGTCTTTTAGCCGAAAATATCACCTTATTAGACACCTACGAGTTCACAGTGGCGACAAGCCATATGAATGCTCTGATTGTGGAAAGTCCTTCAATGGTAACTCCACCCTCAAACAACACCAGAGAGTTCACACTGGAGAAAAGCCCTATAAGTGTACAGAATGTGGGGTGTCATTTCGAAAAAGGGCTCACCTCATTGAACACCAGAGAGTTCACACTGGAGAAAAACCATATGAGTGTAGACAATGTGGGGTGTCCTTTCGTCGAAGGGCTAACCTCACTGTACACCTCAGAGTTCACACTGGAGAAAAGCCATATGGATGTACTGAATGTGGGAAGTCTTTTAGCCATAAATCCAACCTTACAAGGCACCTGAGAGTTCACAGTGGCGACAAGCCATATGAGTGCTGTGAGTGTGGGAAGTCCTTAAGTGATAATTCTATCCTCAAACAACACCAGATTATTCACACTGGAGAAAAGCGATATGAGTGTAGTGAATGCAGGAAGTTCTTCAGAGAAAGACCTGCACTCATTAAACACCTGAGAGTTCACACTGGAGAGAAGCCATCTGAGTATAGACATTATGAGCAATCCTTCAGTAATAAGTCTGCCCTCAAACTACACAACAGAGTTCACCCAGAAGAAAAGCCATATAAATGCAGAGAATGTGGTATATCTTTTCATCAATGGACTCACCTCAATCTACATCTTCGAGTTTACACTGGAGAGATGTATGAGTGTACTGAATGTGGGAAATCTTTTACTATAAAATCTCGTTTTATTAAACATCTGGGAGTTCACACTGGAGAGAAGCCATATGAGTGTACTGAATGTGGGAAGTCTTTTAGCCGAAAATCTCACCTTATTAGACACCTACGAGTTCACAGTGGCAACAAGCCATATGAATGCTCTGATTGTGGAAAGTCCTTCAATGGTAACTCCACCCTCAAACAACACCAGAGAGTTCACACTGGAGAAAAGCCCTATAAGTATACAGAATGTGGGGTGTCATTTCGTCAAAGGGCTCACCTCATTGTACACCAGAGAGTTCACACTGGAGAAAAACCATATGAGTGTAGACAATGTGGGGTGTCCTTTCGTCGAAGGGCTGACCTCACTGTACACCTCAGAGTTCACACTGGAGAGAAGCCATATGGATGTACTGAATGTGGGAAGTCTTTTAGCCATAAATCCAACCTTACAAGGCACCTGAGAGTTCACAGTGGCGACAAGCCATATGAGTGCTGTGAGTGTGGGAAGTCCTTCAGTGATAATTCTATCCTCAAACAACACCAGGGTGTTCACACTGGAGAAAAGCTGTATAAGTGTAGGGAATGTGGGATGTCCTTCCCTTGAAGGGCTCAGCTCACTAGACAGCACAGAGTTCACACTGGAGAGAAGTATTAAATGTTCAGGGAATTTTTTTTTTCTCACTTAGTATAACAACACTGAAGGCGAGTCTTTGAGACCTATTTTTCTGAATTTAAACCCCTTTTAATGGAACATGCACTCTGATATATTTCTCATCGGTTTCAAGTACAAGTGAGGCTTTAAGGAGCTGCACTATACTTGCTAACATGCCCAGACCTACTACCTGATTGGTGCCACAGTGAGCATTTGTGGCTGAAGATATTTCACCTCTACCACCTGGCTCACCTGAATAGTGTGCATCAGTCCCAGCCTCTGTGTGCTCAGGGGAAATGTATTCTGTGTTCTCACTTGTGCTTGAGAACATTATGATTACTTCAAGCTCTTGACAGGATCTTCCTTCCTTTCTGACTAGGGAATGCATTTGACTCAGGGTTTGTCCAGACCACCCATCCTCAGCTAAGCAGTGCTACCACTTTCAGGGACATTGTGGGTCTCACATTTTCTTTTATGAATTGTTTTACTTTATAATTCACAAACCTTCAAATTGCTTACTGTCCTCTGTTCTGGTTTATGATCTTTAGTAAAGATACGTTTTCTTTCGTAACTTTATTTTTTTAATTTCACTGTCTGGATGATTTGATACAAAAGTTGTTATCTATTATCATGGCAAGATGAACAAATATGGTGGGCTCCCAAACTTTCTGTGCTTTGGAAAGCTATAATAATGTCAGAAAAGTCACTCTTTGTCCAAAAATGGCTTATTTTATACCACTGACCAAGGCAATGAAAGAAAGTTTGCATAACTTTGTGGTTGCAATTTGCAGCCTGGTGCCTCTAATGTTGGTGAGGTCAGTGTTCCACAAATGGAAGAGTCGTTTTTTGTGCTTCTGTCATTGTTCTCACATTATCCTATGATGAGTTATTTTATGTCCTAATTCACCACCCTACAAACTGCTTGTTGTCCTCTTTTCTGGCTTATGATCTTTTAGTAAAGGTGTTTTTTGCTTTTGTACCTTTAATTTTGAGGGTTATATTCACTGCCTGGGATGATTTGAAAGGATAGTTGTGATCTGTCAGCATGGAGAGGGGAACAATATGGTGGGGTCCCAAACTATATGCACGTTGGAAGGCACATAATAATGGCAAAAATCCCTCTTTGGCCAATATTGCTTTATTTTCTATTGCTGACCAAGGCCTTTAAGGAAAATCGGCATGACTTTTTGGTTCTAATTTTGTAGCCTGGTGCCGGTATTATTGGTGACGTCAGTGATCACCGAGAAGAAGAGTCTTCTGTTGTGCTTCTGTGAACAATATGGATTATATTCTCTGTTCATAGTAAGTCTTCCGTACTGCAAAGGAGCCCTGAGCCATGTTGTGTGAAATATCACAGGCTGGTTTCATTTGTTGTAACACTGTGAAGTGCAACTAATATTGGGATAAACACTGTTTTCATAGTGAGTGGAGGAGACATCAGTATATAGGATGAAAATTGCCTCTTCTGAACATTATTCACAAATGACCCAGTCCTGTAGCTTCTTTGTTCTTTTTGTAGCTGAAGTGATTGGTTGCGAAAAGAATCTCATGTTTTTGGGGATTCCCTGGGCCCCTCTATGGTGTTCACCTCAAGGCTATCACAACAGGCAAAAACTCAAAGCTAAAGGAAGGGTAATCGTATAATTAGTCCCAGGTTGTGTGTTTTGTGAAAATTCAGCATTCCTGATCATTGTGATGGCAATAGCCTTCCCTTCTGGACAGTATTTTCTGCCACAGAGGCAACAATGATTCTCTCAAGAAATGAGGAGAGAGATGGTCGTGTCTATATAGAGTTGCCATCTTAATTTTCTAACACCAAAGGGATAGCTATGTTTTTATTTGGAACCACAATTAAGGCTTTAC